ACACCATCGTCCTGCACGGCTTCAGCCCGTCTTACCTTGAACACATACGTTGCTCCTCCACCTCCTCCTCCACCTCCCTTCACTTGACTTCTGTTCACCATCGGGCCGCTCTGCTCCAGGCAGATTTTATTCAGGATGGCGTTGGACTGCAACCGGGGAGAAAGATGTCAGTTTGCTGAAGAATTTCTCTTCATGGATGTCAGATGGATACGTCAAGCCTGAGCAGCTGCTCGGAGTTCAAGAGTTTAGCATCAAAAACACGAGCAGCAACGATGGTCTGGTTTCAGTTTTTGCTAATCTCCTGGTCCCTGAATTCATCAGACGGATGCAGGACTGATGTCTGACAGAAACGGCAGGCGTGTTTGTCACTTTGKCTGGATGAGTCAAAAAGGATTTGCAGAAAAAAAAGATGATTTCCTGCAAGACGGTTTTGCTGCTCGTCTTTTTGTTGTTTCGCTCTGCTCCCCAGAGTCACAGCCCCTTCATGAAAATGAAGCAGGACATTTTGTTGGCGAATGATGTCAGAGGCAGGGACTCTACCCCGGCTGAGATTGCATGAATTGATGTGCCTGCCTCGTGTGTGCTATCATGCTGAACAGCCTGGAGCCAGTCCTACTTGGAGAGCAAGGAGGCAGAAGTTTGTTTCCCCTCGCTCCGTCTGAGCTGAAACTCTAAAGGGTCTTAAAGAGAGGACGAGGAGGAAGTCTGACTCTGATTGACAAGCAGCGATGCTGAAAAGCAACSTGTTCAAATGAGAGTCTCTCAATCCCCCTCCTCCTCTCAGCTCGCTCTGCTGTTGCATCTTCGCACTTTTTAAAGCTAAATTTGTGTCTTGGAGGGGAAAGGGAGCAGTACAACAGAGGTGTGTGTGTGCGTGAGTTTTTCTCATCATCTCCAAAGGGAAATCTAGGTGTGAGGTGTTGGGGGGTAAAAGGAAGTTTAAACGTTTCAGTTAAACTTTGTGACTCTCTCTTCTACACCGTCTGTTTAGATCTCTTCTGCTGGGATAAAAAGTAATAACTGGATGGCAACAGACAGGACCCACAGCTTACCCCCCACCACCCCCAGCTTAGAAAACAAAACCACAGAACTCAAACCAGCCAGGTGGGAATTTGGAGACAAAATACAAATACGRCTCAACAGTAACAACCCACAAATCCAATTTACAGCCTCTAAAGGGAACCAGCTGCACAAGATGCCACTGCCTCGCTCCCAAATGAGCTAAATAACTTGTGAGCTTGGAAAAAAAAACTTGGAAACAAAGAAGTTGGCTGCACCAACCTTTATGATTTAATCTACCGGAGTGCACTTTTCAAATGAAAGGAGACATATCCTGCCTTTAAATCCTTCTTTTTCACATTTAAATCTTTCAGCTGGGGGTCTATATAAAGTGGAACTGTAATGCTTTGGTGTGAATTCCTCCTTATTGTAACTCCACAATCACCTCATTCACCACTTTTTCTGAGGTGTGTCTCAGATCAACTCGTTTTGAGGCTGTTTCTTTAAATCCAAACAAGGTGCTTCACAACTCACCCCCTCCTCCAACTATCAGACCGGTTCATTCCGGCTTGATAGAGGGGTTTACGACTTTAAAGTGGCGCAGAAACATTTTATTTACAAATTAATTAAAGGATGTCAACAAAGACAATGAAATTGTAGTTGGTAAGTCYAGATCTTATTAAGCAGTTCTGCCGCAAATTCTGTGAYRTAATAGTARAACAGAAYAYAGATATCCTGGGGAGAGACTTTTCTACACTCCTAGTGACTCTAAGTACACAATAAATATGTATAACAACTTAAAACAGCTCGATTTGAACCAGTTTACAATTATTATTAATTATCAGTGTGGTCGTTAGACCTGGACGTGTTTTTCATTAAAAGCAGCAAAAAAGTTGCAAAACTCTGGGACTCGAGAAGAAATTTACCACGGTGGATGATGCGAGACGTTACAAAGATTTCTTAAAATATTTTCACCGACTAATCTTTAACAGTCACAGACAAAAAGGCTACAAGTTTAATTTTCACAGAGSTGTATAGTAGCAAAGTAAGTTTACTTTGTTACAGTTCTGTAATTTTACAAAGTTTTTTTATTCGTATGTTCTACTTTAATTTTGTTACATTCAAAACATAAAATGAAACTTTGATTTCTTTACTTTAAAATTTAACACCTGTTACAAATTTAAATATGACCAAATTCATCATGAAAGGAGTTGTTTATGCACTCTAAAAMTGAAATGTTGAATTTAACCAATTTATGTCAACTGATTCCACTAAAGTGAGCTAACTCAGTTTAGTAGAACCAGTTAATTAAATTCAACACGTCGCTTGTGTAAAAGTACTTTTACTTTCTTGATTCTTGTTAGCAGTTTTTAACGTTTACTGAAGTACTTATAAGTTAATTTTTTACCAAAGTTACTGTATTTTTACTTATTCCTTTCAAGTACTTTATTCACCTCTGAAATTTCAACAATTATTTGAAACCTATTAAAGAAACATATATTTTTAATCCTTTTAATCAAAGTTTAATTCACTCCTTCAGTCCTGTGATCAACAKTCTGTCAACAAAAGTGTTAAAATACTTAAAGGTTTTCTATTTATAGAAMGACCTTTAAAAATCTGGAGTGGTGGAGCCATGTTCTGCTTTTACTCAACAAGCAAGCAGGAATCTCTTCTTGGTTTTCAAGTTTAGCTTCAGAAATGTTCAAATAAACTTTGTGTATTTTGGAAACAGGTTTTGCAGAGTAAAAGAATTGGAAGAAATGTTTTTGTCATAATGAGCCAAGATGTGTCCTTTAATAAAAAGAAGACCTCTGGAAAAGCACTGAGGAGGTTGTTGCCCTTAGAGAACTGGTGGAAAGAAGAATTACTTCATTAAAATACCATCAGATTCTGGAACAAAACTTTTTTTTAAAGCTGAGGATRAAAAGAGGATTGATTCCTAAATAAAACCATCTTTAAAAGAGGAAATTCTACTTTTTTATGTTTTTTTTTCTTTTTCTATTTGTGCACCTGTCAAGTTTTTTTCTTGCGTTTCCAAACAATTTGTAGTTTTTTTTTAATGTTTGGATCCWACATGCAGGATTTAATATCTGCAGAGAACATTGGGACTCACATTGGGACAGGCGTCCTCTCCTTGTTGTCCCACCAGGATGTGCAGCAGCTCCCCCCTCCTCAACAGGAAGTCTCCYGTGATGTAGACGCCATGTGACCTGATGGTGGCCATGACACTTCGCCCGCCGGCCGCACCGTAGGCGGTGATCCTGAGGTGCAACGAAAACACAAATAAGTTGAAACTCGTAGAGTTGYTGAGTGAAAGTAGTTCCCAGATTTATTTGGAACGATACAGATTGTTATAACATCATAATAAACACTTCCCTGTGGTCATAATCAAAGTTTTACTCTGTAAAAATCATCCTGATGAGGTTAAAACACACAAACACCAAGTTTAAAAGTCAGTTTCTACTGTCATTATAAAGAAAGAGCAATTTTTCAAAACAATCATTTTGTTTAATATCTATAGATAATTATACATTTTGAGATTACTCAATTAATCTCACAAAAAAGTGCTTATTTTCTTATGTCATCTAGTTCATCTCAATATAAAATGATTTTTTTAAAATATGGACTTAATTATCTCATTTCAAAATATTTGTTTCTGATAAAATAATTCTTTATATTTGTATAAATACATTTGAAGATGCTTGTTTTTGAGATAACTCACATTTTTTCCAGATAACCAGTAATACTGTATATTCAATTAACAATGCTTTATTATCTCAGTATTTTAAAATACATGTTCTGGGATAAAGGTTTTTATTTTCACRTTTAGTTTCCTGAAGTTCTTATTGTCTTGGAAAAAAAAGGTCAGCTTGTCTTGAAAAAACACCCTTTAGTTCAGATAATTTGTCTCATTTTGAGATTTTGCTAAGTTATTAATTTCTCCCCAGAGATAGTGTTATTTTTCTAATTATCTTGAGACAGTTAAGCTCGTTTACTTTGGAAAGCAGATTAATTTSTGTTATTTCAACTAGAAAAGCTTGTTTTCTTGAAGAAATGAGAACAGAGCTGCTGATTTAAGCTGAATAATCGGTCACTGATGATCATTATAAGATTAAAACTWGCTCAGTTCTCTCAGTAAACCAGAATAGTTAATAATAAAGTCAATAATGACAGGTTTGACGAGCAGCTTTCATAGTTTTTTGGGAACAGTGATATTTTTCATTCAGTGCTGGGGCGACAGAGGACACAGCTCAGGATTAGCTTCCTCAGCTGTTTGCATAATGACTTCAGGGAGCTGCAGAGCAGATATTCATCTCTGTGGTCGTTTGTCAGCTTCATGTACCGGACCCTGTCAGCTGAATGGGTCCACATCAAAACCAGTCGAGCAGTTTGTGTGTTTTCTAAAACTTTTAAAGGCCCAGTATTTGGTATTTGATGGCTCAGAACAGTTTGGCTGRGCTGAGCTGCGTGTGAAGCTTGTTGTGTTGTGTGGATGTGGGAGGCGTGCAGCTTCCAGAGACATTTTTGCTCAGTGTCAAATCCAAGTTTAAATGCCTCATACCAACACGAGTGCCCACAGGAGGAATATTGATCACAGTTAAAGGCTACGATGATAATCAGAGCGCTACATACAGTAAGCTGGAAGTGAACAGGTCTGAAAGCTGAGGTGTTTTAAAGTGCTATCACAGTTTGCAGAAGTGGGTGGTTTGAGATTTAAGATGCAGGTGGAGAGTGAATCATAAACTGTTGCTGCTCTGACTTTGGATTTGCTCCATTCTGCAAGAATCTGTGATTTTCTTCCCCACTCAGTTTGCTTGTGGAGGACTGAAGCAGAGAGTAGTAGATGTGGGCGTTAGTGGAGAGTCTGATTTGCTGTAAAAAAAAAAAAACACGAGCTACACGGAGGTCAAGTGTGTGCTGTAAACTATCACTGTTAAAAGCTCATCAGCTCGAGTGTTTGAGCCTTATGACTGGTCAGGCGTCGCATCAGACCCTTGAGAAAAATCTAAACGATTCCAGCGTAAATTGTTTGCATAAATGGACGTTAAAGGCAGCGATCTCACCTGTATGTGCCAGTTTCTGGGACCCGCCACATCTGAATGCCTTTGAAGGGCCCCCGGGTGCCGACYGTCACGTTGACGTTGCTGCTCCTGTAGGAGTTGAGGCATTGAGTGGGAGTCGGACCCTCGGGACCCACAGCCCCACAGGTGTGAAAAATCCATTTTTTGGCTGCGCATGAAGGAAAAAGAAGATTTTTTTGAGTATTTTTTTTAGACCATGCGCTGCTGAAGAAAGGCAAACTCTGCATTCAGTCAGTCTCAGAGATGATGGGCTGGCTGACATTCAGAGCACAGAACTCACCACACTTCTATTTGTCTGTCATTCATTTCACTTCAACATTTCCCACAGCTCTGCAGCAGATACTGGAGCTTTAATCTGAGAGCTCCTTATACGGCAGACCACCATTATCATATTCATACCAGCAGCAAAGGATGTGGTGACAGAATCCCAGGCAACAAGCATTCCTCATTTTTTAATGCAATTCTCAGCTAATTGGAGTCCTTTATTCACTATAACGAGCTTGAATCTGGTCTTGTTTGGACGGAGAGGAAGGTTGAGGCAACACTGCAGTGAGGAAGACTCCTGGATAACRTCACCCCTTCATCACGATTCTGTTCGGTGGTGAATTATTGGAAGTTTCTGCTTCAGTTCAGAGGAGAATGGCTCATTTCTAATGCTGAATTCATACTAAAAAAATGAAAAAATGGAAAAAACCTCAAATAAATGACACGCAGCATCATATGATGATGTCATCATCCTGCGACAAACATGGTATTAATAACTAACAAAAACTAATAAGGAGAGTAAATAGCAGCCAAGTGTTGGAAATTATCTAATCAACATCATTTTTAGCTGTTAACTGTATTTTGTTGTGCACTTGGAGTCTCTCCTGGTGCTGAATTGATATCTTTATATTCTGTTTGGGTCAAATTTTTCCACCTATTCACTCAAATGAATAAATCAAATGTAAAAAAGAGGTATTTAATAGCATGACATGTCTCCTTTAAAGCATMAGCAATGACCTAACAAGTGAAAAAAAACATTGAGGATAGCTGACTATTTTCCCAGGAGTGGATAGAAAGGTTCAACATCACCCACAGCTCAGATTGTGCAATAATGAGAGAAACGACAGAACTCCTCAAGAGTTTCATTTCAGACTCTACAGGCCTTAGTTAGCAGTTAGCAGTGACTAGCAGCAACCGTTTGTCGCAGGATGATGACATCATCCTGGTTATCTGATGCTAACTTCTGCTAACGCATCTAACCCTGCTAACGATGATATTTTAAATCTAAATTCAAAATGTGTTCATAGCTGCCTTAAGCGCTAGYGGTTGCYATTGTCTCAAGATGATGATGTCATAACATGAGCCGAGCACCAACGGCAAAGGCTGTGTTCCACTCCAGTATACCTAAATGTGAACTTCAACATTTAAGGTTTAACTTTTATGTTTAGATTTAGGATTTAATATTTAAATCTATTTTTTTACATTTAAATTTAACATTTAGTAAATATTAGCTAAATGTAAGAACAGTGAAAATGTTAGTGGAAATTTTTTAACACTCAAAAAGTGAGCAATGAAAAATACGTTAGTGAAGTTTTCATTTCATTTTAGACTTGTCGCCCCTCAACCTGCAGTGCAGAAACAAACGTTAATGAACCGAACTATTGATTTTTTCTTTTAGTATTAATTCCATTTAAGTTTTCTTTAAATGACTATATGATCTTTATGCACGATGATCTTTATTTGTTGACACTGTTGACGTTAAACACAGAAAGGTCTTTGGTTCGATTCGTCTCTCTTCTCATCTCTCCCCAGGGCGCTGGTGGTTTCACACTTCAACCCATTTTATCGATCTCTTTGGTCCATCAATGTGAATGAGTTAACTAGAGCACACACACACACACAGACACACACACGGCGCTGTGTAAAGAGCCGTTTTCTGATTAGCWCTCGGGCCGAGCAAACAAAAACAAGAGGTGCTTTCAGGAGAGTCCTGGCTGATGTTAGATCCATACATGCACTCATACACRTGAAAGAACCACCATGGGAGACTCTGGCTGAGTGTTATATGAACCTACTTTAAATGAACTTTGCCACCAGTGGTATGAAATTAACATAACAAGCAGAGACCTCCATAAAAAAAACAGAATAATAGTTTTCATCAGGACAGGAATCGTTCCACAGAGGAAACCTCAAAGGAAAAGAAGTGAAATAAAAAATGTTTTTTTATTACACAGTAAAGTCCCGGAGGTCTTACCCCGCGTCTGAACGTCATCAAAACAACAGTAAACATCATGATTCATGCTGCGGTTCTTTATGTAAAGTGCCTTCAGATGGCTTTTTGTTCTGGATTGGTGCTTTATAAAACAAACAGAATTGAATTTTTCATGGCCAACAAAGGCCATCTTGGGGGCAAACTGAATCTAAAACACAAATATGTCTGCTGGCGCAGAAATCTTCTCAGCTTCGGACAACGCCGATCAGCAGCATCTGAACATTTGCGTGTGACAGACGGATGGTCAAAGACACAGATGGGCCGAGCCTTCGTCACGCTCTACTAGAAGCCACGTTGTGTCAAATGCCAGGGTTTTTTTTTGTCTTGATTGAGGATTGGCCTGAATCGGTTCTTTCCCCAAACGAGGGGAAACAGAGTCAACCGGATCTTTGAGGTTGTGTTCGGTTTGAATACAGCCAGATATTTGTTCAAAACGGAAAAATCCTGCTTTCAATGCACAGCAGCACGTCTGACGTTCAGTTTTGATCACATAAAATGATTGTAAGAGCACGTTTCTTTTGTACGTTTGTCTGAAGCTGAAAACTGACGGATAAAACACAACAGTTGACTAAAAAAAGAGCAGCATCAAAAAATTGCTGATTAACCTTACTTCTCTTATTAGAAAGGAAATAATTAGGGTGAAAAATCAGAAATTATTGTGTTTAAGCATATTTTTCTTTAATTGAACTGGTTAATATTTGAAGAAAACAGGGATTTCCTCGTTGTTGGATTTTTATTTAAAGTAGACATTTGATGCCTTTAAATCTCTCTTTTTCACATTTAAATCATTCAATTGGGGTCTTTATAAAGTGAAACTGCAACACTTTGGTCTGAATTCCTCCTTATTGTAACCCCACAAGCCCCGCTCTTTTTCTGAGGTATTTCTCAGATCAATTCATTTTGAGGCTGTCTCTTTAAATGCTAACAAAGCGCATCATGCCCCACCCCCTCCAGCCATGACAGCCGTTAATCACTGTCGTTTGTTGCTACCCGTGTGTCGAGCCCTTAACTCACCCTCCCTCCAGCTCCCAGACTGGTTCATTCTAGTTTGATGCATTTACTTTATATAGCGGCACAAATTTTGCAAATTAAAAATGAAAAAAGATGTCAGCAAGGGAAGACTTGTCCATCCATCCTTACATGTTGGAGGCAGAGTCTGACCCAGAACCAGAGAGGAATGAAGACCACCAAACTGTAGTTGGTAAATCTAGACCATTTTTGGCAGTTCTGTCGCAAATACTGACACAATAGTTAAGAAAAAGTCATAAAAATAGAGAAAACTGAACAAGTTGAAAAATATGACTCAAACAGACTATAAAGGTATCTACGCAGCGCAGARAGAGACTAAATTTAACTTTCCTGCACTCCTAGGGACTCCACAACATATGCATTTAAAGGCTAAAAAGGTGGATTTTGCAAATGTCCCCTTTAAGCTTGCTTGACTAAAATTCCCACAACTGGACCAAATAACCTATATTATTCACAGAATCCTTAAGAAAGCCCCAACTTTAAAGCAGGACAGAAATAAAGCTGCTTTATGGTTATATTTTCTGCAGTGAGAAAATTAAAAATAAGGGAAAATGACCTGTAATAGCTGAAAATGTTCCTGTGGTATAAAAGYAATTGTCCTCCAGTCTTTACATGTTCACAAACTTCAAACTTTACTTTGTATCTGCAGCATCAGGACTCCTCGTTCTCYCCTGCCCTCATGTATTAGCATACGTCGTCCTTACAGGAGTGGCAGTTGTCCTCYTCGGACCTGCCGTTACAAAGATGGATCAAGGCTGGCATCGTGCGAATGGATGCGAATGCAAAATAAAAAGCTAATGGAGTAAACACCACAAATTAATTAGAACACCTGGTTCACGTGGCTCCACATCAGCCTCATTTCTGATTCAGGTTTCTCCTCTGAAATCCAAACCACAAGCAGTCGACTGATTTCTGCAGGTCAGTTTTAATAAACGGGCGAACGATGACGCGCAAAGCGACTTCAACGCCGCGCAGTTAATTAACAAACACGAAATGACCAAAGCTCCTTTCTGCACGGAGCGCTCAGGGGACGACATCTGGTGTCAGAGCCAATCAGATCATTTCAATCAACACATCGGCTAATTTTGATTTGATGCCAGTTTTCATCAAATCCTCACAACTCGATTTGTTTTTGCTGCATCAAAGAAAGTGGCACAGTTTTATGTCAAAATGAGCTGTTTGTTTAAACAAACTAATGCATGTATATCCTGTTGGATAAAGGAC